ACATGAAACAGATCAGCAGCAACATGAAACAGATCAGCAGCAACATGGAACAGATCAGCAGCAACATGAAACAGATCAGCAGCAACAATATGTGATTATTCATGAGTCTAACAGCCTCAGGGTAGAAGCTGTTCCTCAGTCTAGTGGTTCTACACTTAATGCTCCTCAACCTCCTTCCTGAGGGGATTGGGGCAAAAAGGGTGTGTGTGCTGGGTGAGTGTGGTCCTTCATGATGCAGGTGGTCCTCTTCCTGCATCTGGAGGTGTAGATGTCTGTGATGGTGGGGAGACTGACTCCAACATCTTCTGTGCAGCCTTCACCACTCTCTGCAAAACTTTTCTTTCTGCAGCTGTGCAGCCTCCATGCCACACGTTGATGCTTGAGCACAGGATGCTCTCCACTGCACACCTGTAGAAGGAGGTGAGGACTGAGCTTCCAGACCAGCTCGTCTCAGCCGTCTGAGGAAGTAGAGTCTCTGATGAGCTTTCTTGATCAGGCTGGTGGTGTTGTTGCTCCAGCTGAGGTTGTTGTTCAGGTGCACACCCAAGTACTTGTAGCTGGAGACCACTTCCACCACAGATCCTCTTATGTTCTGGGTGAGGTAGGTTTGTTTCGTCTGAAGTCCACAATCATCTTCTTCACATTGATATGAAGGTTGTTCTTCCTGCACCAGCTCTCCAGGTGTTCCACCTCCTGCCTGTAGCTGGACTCATCATTGTTTGTGATGCATCCCACCACCGCTGTATCATTTTGCAAACTTTACAATGTGACAGCCTGGATGGGTAGTTGCACAGTCTTAAGCCCCCAGTATACTCCCGCGTACATCCATACGCAGAGGTACGTGCATACCCTCCAGGGCGTCCATGCAAAGCTCAAATTTTTACGACCGCATAAGCGTACGTGGTGTTGCACAATAAACTGCCCAGCAACAGACTGTTTTGAATGCGACACCCATGTATTAAATTCCTCTTCTTCATCTCTGATCTGACCTTTTCTTTTGTTTTTTGCCAAGAGGCAGTGATCTCTTCCTCCTCCGTTGATGCCATGACTGAAATGGTGAGAAATGGAGGAATTTGTCACGAGCTAATTAAACTCAGGTCCAGCGTGGCTGTGGGAGGGTCTGGAGATTTCCTGGTGGACTGGTCTGATGTGTGGGCTGCAGGGCCAGCACTCCTTGTTTTTTTTTATTTTTTAGATCTTTTTATTAAGAACGTATAAACACAGAACACTGCTGTGGCTCAGGCTGCCAGCGCTCACTTTTTTTTTTCTTTTGTCCAACCTGTCACTCAATCCAGCAGGCGTGTCAGCAAGTGACCAATCGGCGACCTCAATTTGTCTTGAAGGTAAACGCCCCTTGTCTGTGAAGCTGCTCTGCAGCTGCTCGGGGTGGACGCTGGAGTATCATGTCTGAACCCTCTGCGTACCGTACACGCGTACGTATGCGTGAACAGACGTACGTGGCAGTATACTGGAGGCTTTACATGAGCAGTGAACAGGAGGGGGCTCAACACACAGCCCTGGGGGGAGCCAGTGCTGAGGGTTATGGTGGAGGAGGAGAAGTTGTGGATCCTTACTGACTGTGGTCTGTTTGTTAATAAGTCTAGGACCCAGTTGCAAATGGAGGGGCTTGGTTCTAGTGTGAATAGTTTGTCCATCAGGGTTTGGGGGATCATGGTGTTGAAGGCAGACGTGAAGTCCACAAAGAGCATACGGACGTAGGAGTCCTGCTCCATGTGGGTGAGAGCAGAGTGGACCACAGAGGAGATGGTGTCCTCTGTTGATCGAACTGTGGTCATCTGGCTGTTTGGGAAGCCATCGTCACTGCCGCAGCTCATTCTATGCTGCGTCTCATCAGGCAGCCAATCCTCATTTAGTTTGTCAGGGTCTTCTTCCAATCACAGCAGAGTACCTGGATACTAATTCATATGTAATTAAGGTTTCACACACACAAAACGACAGTCGTAACACCAGCTCTAGGGTTATGGCCACAAATCAAGGTCAAAGGTTATACAAGGTCTTTGCTTGTCCGAGCCTATAGATGGCTGTATACTGGTAGTCGACGGGAGTATGATGTGCCTTATGCAGTACTCTCCTGAGTCCTGAGCTGCCTTTGCTGGACTTAAGACATATTTATTATAAACATTTGGTCAGTAACATTTTTTAGGTCATGAAAAATGAACAGTCATCTCCACTTTTAAATCTATGACATATGAATCAGTTCTCTGACCTTTGACTTGTGCTGTGTTATTTCCCTGCTCCTCCAGGTGATGGAAAGTGCGTCATCTGTGACTCTTACGTGAGGCCGTGCACGCTCGTCCGCATTTGTGACGAGTGTAACTACGGATCGTATCAGGGCCGATGTGTAATCTGTGGAGGACCCGGGGTGTCCGATGCTTACTACTGTAAAGAGTGCACCATCCAGGAGAAAGATGTGAGTGGCCCCCTCCCTTTGTTTGTGTGGCTGCAGTAACGGTCTTCAGATATTCTCTAACACCCGTCTGTTCTCTGCAGAGGGACGGCTGTCCCAAGATTGTGAACTTGGGCAGCTCTAAAACTGATCTGTTTTATGAAAGGAAGAAGTATGGCTTCAAGAAAAGGTGAAGACATCGGACACTGCTCTCAGTTTTTACACTTTTTTTTTTGACTTGTCAATAAAGTTGGTTTTTTAAACATTTTTGTCTTCCTAGTTTTAATGTTTTGGCTTGTAAATCTTTACGGTGTGGAAATTGTAAGAGTCACTGAACAAGGCTCTGCTGCTAAGGAACATTTTATGGTAACGTACGTTATGGTCCTGATAAGTGTAGGAGGGGCAGAACCCACAACACATGAAGCTCAGACGATTCTCCAGTTTAGACAAAAGTTTAATTGTCAATAAATCCTCTGAACATAAATGCAGACTGGGAGTACTGGTTAAAACAAACCAAAAGAGGGAGAAGCACCAAACCAACCAGCAGTTGGCCGTCGCATTCAGGCCGCTCCCCTCGCCCTGTAACCCGGGGACTAACCCTACAACCAAAAACCAGTAAAAACCTAGACCACACAGGTGACTCCCAGTCCCCAAAACAATCAGCTCAACAACTGTGACGGTGCAGCAGCGGGAGCAAGGCTGGAGAACAAGAACCATCAGAACAACATCTCCTCTGGCCTCCCTCGCTCCTCCAGCAGGCGGAGCTTGGTCCTTTTAGGCCCCTCAGCCAATCAGCTGCAGGAGAAAAGAGCATTCATCACAAACACACAGCAGGGGCACATCACAACATAACTAACAAAGATGTAACTGGAGCTGATGGTTCATCTGACGGTTCATCTGACGGGTCATCTTCTAGATCTGGATAAATCTGAACACTCAAAGTAATCCGGTTAGTGTTTAAAGCTGCTCCATAAAAATACTGAAGCATCAGTTGATGTGAAATATTCAGAGATATGCATTTTACAATTTCACACCTTAATAAATGAACCTGGCACACAAAACAAACAAAAGATCTCTAAAATAAGAGTCAATCCAATGTTAATGTGTGTTAAGTATGTTATGCATATCGTACACGACTCACCTGAGTCTGCAGCGTTTCCAGTTTATTAACCAGCAGCAGTGAGCTATAAACCTGGATCAGGGACCAGACTCACCTGAGTGCAGCGTTTTCAGTGATTCTGATGGTTTGTGTGTGTTCGCCAACTCCTGGTCTTATCTCTGTAGTCTGCCAGAGGACGTGAAGTGTCCGGGTGAACGTAGACCTCACATTTGTGTGTTCTGACTCATTTGAGTTTTTCAATCTTTAACCTGAGTGAATCAGTAACTGACCAGCTCTAGTTGTAACATGAGAACACTATCGTTCCCAAACCTGGGGACAAGATGCCTCTTTTGAAATCCAGTCTGGAGAATAGTTGTCCCCCATGGTGGAGTGAAGGAGCGACTTGGAAATGACGTCTGTCTTGTGAGCAGCATAATTTGAGATGTGAAGTAACCACTTCGTTTGAGTGGTGTCATCTAGGCATCAACAAGGTCCAGATGGAAAATGAGGTGGTCATGTCAAAAGGAACCCATATATGCTTTCTAGGTTTTATGTTGCTTAAAAGTAGTTTCCCCAAATGATTGGGAGTAGTCAAAAGCTAAAAGGACTGTACTTATATATCACCTTTCTATTTTATCAAGATACTCGGAGCTCTTTACAACAATCTGTGCGTCATTGACCCAGTCATACAGCTCTGTACTGTTTCTGTACCTAGCTAATCTGAATCTGTAGAGACTAATCATCTTTAGATCACATTCATACATTGATGGGACACAGAGACAATGAGGGGTTCACTGTCCTGCCTGGGGACACTTCAACATGTGACTGCTGGTGGAACTGAACCCCCAACTCTCCCAATGGAGGGCGGCTGCTCTAACCACTCAGCCACAGCTGTGCCAAAGCTAGGACTGCACCTGAGCAAAACTGCCTCCAACGGCCAGGATCCATCACTGCTGTAAATGAACATATATCTGTGAGATATTATCCATAAATTAAACAGATTCTTTCATTTTTCTGGACTGAGTTCTATCGTGCATTGAATGATTAAATGTGACGTGAGACGTTAATTTTCTTTGACCCATCAAAATGAATGCGGTCATTTATTAACAGAATCAAAGTTTAACATCAAACATTTACATTAATTTGGCAAATTGATTACAATAACACATAATTAATTAGCTTTACAATCAGAAACCATACGGCCATGGTTTCCAGCTTCAAGCTTTACAACAGACATTTCTGAAAATATCTGGATTAATTACTGGCAGATAGAAGAGTTTTAAAGATGGGAAATGAAGGAGTTTAAATGGAGAGAGATGGGTGAAGATGTATGTGTCTGTATAAGATGTAGGTCTGTAGACCAGAACGACACGCTCCTTTGGAACCAGCTTATCCCA